TGCAATCTTCATACACAGCGTCGTTTTTCTTTATTGTGCGTTGTAACCGGCTGAATGTACTTTTACTACGGAAATGTATTATGTCAGGTATTATCAGTCTTGTTATCGGCAGCATTAAATTCGTATGGGTATATTCGAGATTATAAGTGAAATGACGATCACTGGAATCGATGGGATGTGTACATCAATAGCTAGCTGGTAAGCTTATAATTTTAGAAATTGCCTTTAAAAATTAAACGAATATTCCGGCTTATAAAATTCATTTCTACGACACTTTGAAAAGAATTTCCTTAACCATTCAAAATCTAATACGCATCACATACACATCTAATACAAAAGGAACTACATATAAATCAGTGGAAAAAGGAAAATTTTTATCGAAGAATTGAATGTTTCCCTTTCATATCATGAGTAATACAGGAGAAGAAAGCAAGAATTAAGACATTCGTCTAATTTTCATAAAGATCTAATTAAAGATTAGGAAGCCACTCTACAGCACTATTATTCACATAGCGGCACTTTCCTGCTCTTGAAATAAGGCAACATCCTATCGAGTGCGTGAGAGGCCCAGTGTCTTCGTCCTTACATCCGTACCCTTGCGAGCCAACATTGGCGGGCGCTTCTTGACTCAGGTAAAGGTACTTCTTCCTCTCAGGGATATTCGCGTGGCTGGTGGAATCGGCGCACTATTGTTAGAGAGTCGCAAAGTCCACGCCTGTTGGTGAAAGTACCCCGTCGATCTATGTTGCGCTCGCAGAACAGACGTACTTGGCTTTTCATTTTTTTCCTTTCTTTGCTGTGGCAGTTACCGTTGACAATGGCTATATCGTTTCTCTCGCTTCTCGAATAATCTTTAAATTTTCTAATGTAGACCATTTCAAAATTTATGGACTTAAAGTTTACGAATTCACGCCGTAAATACATTTTCTTTAATGAAAACACGATTATTATATGGGAAAGAATAATTTGAAGTGTTCCTATTATTATTCATTGATCATTAACAGTGTATTTTATACAAGTACTCGGAAAATTATAGATATTGATTTAGACAACAAAAATTGTGTAAATAGATTTTAAATTACAAGTATAAAAAGTCAACATAAAAGCCAAGATTACAATAATAATAATGAACATTTTTTAATATATCGCATTAAATGGTTACGTAAAAATTATTCTCATTTAATATAGCTAATTTATTATACAAAATTATTAATTATCATAATTATTGATAATATTTTATAAATCAATTTTAATATTTACAATTTATCTTATATTTTCCTAAGTACAAAATTTTGTTGCATTAAAAAAATTATTTCCTAACATTTATAAAATTTTCTTGGAAAATACAAATCTAATAATTGTAAAATAATTTATAAAATAAATAGAAATTATTATCTTTTGATTCTGTTCTATTTTAATTAAATAGTCTTAACGTATAAATTAATTCTTACTTTAACTTTTTTCGTTAATTATGATAAGTTGGAGGCAATTATTATTTTAAAGAAAAATATCATCATTATTATTATTATCATTATTATCATCATCATTATTATTATTATTATTATTATTATTATTATTATTATTATTATTATTATTATTATTATTATTATTATTATTATTATTATTCAATTATATAAATATACAAATATTCTATTTGATAACTGCCAACTTTCTTTAAATATGATGGATGTAAGTAAAAGTTAATTAGAAATATTTACATTGCTTGGCGTTAAGAACGATTGTAAGTGTAAGTGTTTCTATAGAATAAATTTTTATGTTTAGTATGTGCTTGCTGAAAAATAGAAACATAGAATATAAACGTCAATATAAACACAAGTAAAATGATGTTCTCATTCGTATTAAGTATAGAAAAAAATTTTGTGGTACAAACCGAAGATATTATCAGTTTCAAGATTATCCGAACAAAAGCTGAATTATCAAATCTGACTATTCTCATAAGTTAAGGTAATTTACGAATCAAAAATTAAAGATAGTTAAATATTATTAAATTATATGGTAAACTTTATGATGGAAAATAATCGAGAATATGAAAATTGTAGCGTTGGAGATTATATACGTAGATACATAGTTTAGAAAGTTTACTCAAATTACGTGTTTTTGCTCGAATTTCTATATAATACTCATTAAATGAATAATGATTCTTAGTCATTTTCTTGTATAATAGAATATCATATATTCTTTATGTGTATATGTACTCTCAATCTGATTTTCTCTTTCCAATAATTTTTGTTTTCAGAGAAAAGTTATAGATAAGTTTTGTTACTTTAATGATATGTTCTTTTTCTGCAATATGTATTTTTGTATATTATTTTTACATATTTAAAGTTTTTAATTAAAATTATGCTACGTTAAATTTATGCTAAAAAATATAATAATGTATCAGTGCAATTTTATTAATGTATCTGCAAACATACATTATGTCCGATATTAAATTTTTTTCAATCCATAAAATGAATAACAATAATATACTTAACAACTGTTTAGAAGTACTAGTTTTCAAAGCATTGTCACTTACGAATATAAGATATATTTATAGCAGAGAAAGTAGCATGAAAATAGAAAAGGAGAATCTAATCGTTTTGAATAAAAATCAATGTTAATAAAATTCAAACAGCTTTCGGTTTTAGAGCTAATGCAACAATTGAAGAGAACCATTCACTTTTTGCACTATAGAAAGTGAATCAGCTTATACGATTAATCAGCGTTCAGGATGCCATGAAACATGAAAACAAATGTTGGTTGTTAGAAGACACGCGTAGTTCGATCAAAGCAAAAAGTATTTATCTCATATTCATACATATATCTTTTATTTGCACCTCAATAAGAATGGAAAACTCAGTTCGAGGCGACGTTGTTTATATTACTTGTTTATCATTCAAAAATTGCATGACTCGTGGCAATTAACTTACATATAATTCAATTTTTAAGTTTTTCATGTTTTATATTTATAATACAATATATAATGTACTTATAATAAAATATATAACATATTGATTTATTACAATATATAAGTAAATTTTTGAAAACCGTTTTTATTACTAATTAAAAATTTTTTACTATCGAACGTATGGTTTATATGGAAAAAGTAAAATTTAAATATATTAATTTTTGTAAATCACTTTAAATAAAATTAATTTGATTACAAAATTAATTTAGCATTACTCAATTTAAAATTAGTATTGGTAAGAGAGAAAAAAAAGAGAATACTATTTTAAAAATATTCTGTATAAGTATGTTTCACTATTAATAACGAAGTATGTAAATTAGTAAAATTATTCAATTACATAACCGTTTGTCGCATGAAATCTTATCCAATTTAAAGTTATTAATACATTAGAAAATATGAATTTATTTTAAAAAGTTTGTATGCCTCGTATAATTCTATATATAAGATCCTTTTCCATTTATGGTTTACAGTAAGCTTCTACTTATGCTGTTATATTCGAGAGTATCAGATTTAGTGTAAAATTATAAATTCTATACTCCATATATTCAAACCTACTGTAATAATGTTTTATTAAATTATGACGATTAATGGGATAATTCTAATATTAAATATAATAATTACATTGTATACATATTTATGCATTTAAAAGAGAATATGTTGAAATCGAATCCAAATTACAGTAAAATATTATTTTTTTGTATCAAAAGAAAGTAGATTCAAATTAATTCAAGGACCTTATTAAAATAAACACTAATTAAAATAATTAAAATAAGCAACCTAATTCAAATAAAGATATTGATAGAATTTATATAAATATGCGCACGAAAAGTTACAAAATGCAGTTACATATTATATTATAAAAAATATACTTTTAAATTAATTTTTGTAAATAATTACTTTAAGAAATATAAAGCGGATTTTTTTCTTTACATATTAATTATTGAAGTCATTGATTATATTACATCACAAGTGAATTGTTTATTAGAATTTGATATATTTAATAATTTCTTCATTGTCATGTAGCAGTATCAGGTTTGTTGTATCTGTAATAACAAATTACTGCGCATCATTTTCAAATTTAGGAATACAAATCAATAGGTACTACTACGCAGATATTCCTGCGATTTGCATAGTTTAATTCCACGTAATCAATTGTTTGGTAATGGTTTGGTAATTGTTTGGTTAATTTTCAGATGAGTGTTTTGAAAAGAGTCGTTAAGGAACATTTTATGTCTGTTAAACCATTTTTTTATTGAGTTAGAAACAATAAAGCTGCACGAAGAACTCAGAGTTTTTGTCGTGGCAGTAACAAGAAATGAAGTACTAAAGAGTGATTTTTAAGATTTTTAAGATTTTTAAATATATATTCATTGTTCGATTGATCTCATATCCAGTAAGTGGATAATACGCCAGTTGTTTATATAGAATATACGAATGGTCTGTATAATTTGTCTTCTTCTACCTATGTTTTATATGTATGCACATACGTGCGCAATTTACATTTAATTTTCCCTCTCTAAATGGTGTTCATATAGTAAATACCTACGCGTATTAATATACATTTTCCCGATTAAATAATTCTCGCGTTGTGCATATGGATAAAATAGAAAGTCGGCGAACATCAAAAAAATTGTGTTTACTAACCCGGTTTGTATTTGCAGTCTAGTTTTTCTCCTCTTCTTAATGATTATAATACTTACGACATGACCATCTTAGAATTTCAACTAATGCACAATTGCGGGAGAGCATGTATTAACTATAGTGTTTTAAGTATAATCATGTGTTAAATATAGTAGTAGATGGCCTTGTCAGTATTGAAATAAAGTTTCGTTCTATATTATAATACTTTGCAGAGTATAATGCAAAAACGTATTATAGATGTGTACGTCGATATTCCTCTAATATTTTCAATATTACATCATACATTTGAATGAGCTTTTAAAAATTTGGTATATCACTAGATGATTAATAATATTAAGGAACTACACCCTTTCATTTATGTAAATTAATAAGTGAAATTTATCATTTTCAGATTATTTCTATAAGGCCAAACCTTCTGAGGAATTTCTGCACTCCGCAAAATTTAGCAACATGGCTGCCGCTGTTGAAAGACACGTTCCTTCCGGTTGTACTCGCAATTTTTGACAAAATGTTTTGTAGATATGTCGCCAAAGTTTACACAAAACAAGACCATTCAACACGATCAACACACGGTATGTAATAAAAACTTTAATATCCATCGGTGAAAAAAATATTTTAGAATATTTTATCTTAAACATTTAATCAATGAAATTATTTAAATGTTCTTATGGATTTTTTATACTTAGCTTCTGAATAATATGTTCATATTTACAATCAGTTTATAGAGTTTTTCTTCGACCATGTCATCTGATTTATTTAAGTAACGGTGATAACCATATTTTTAATTTTGTAAAAACTATTTAATATATTTGATCATTTTTTTTCGATACTTTTGATATAAATGCATTTCAAACGTAAATTCATTCGTGAATATTTTGTTATATAAAATGAAAAATAAACACAGATATTTTATAGTAATTAAATTTTCAAACTCTATAACATACAAGTAAAATTTGACAAATTCGAGTAATGTTGTATCTCTGAATTAATTAGGATGTCCATAAAGTGTGACTTTTAATGTAAAAGAGAAAATTCATTTTCATTATATTTATACGATAGATAATTCGTATAAAATCTAATTGAATAAATCCAAAGGCATATCTGAAAATGTAAAGTATATCTTAAGTCACCATGTGAGAATAGAAAATGCTTTTGAAACATGTCGTATTATCCTATCCCGAAGTGTTGTAATCGTGAGTAAATACGTTACGAATTAACTTGCACTGAAGAAGTTATCGGGCAAATCAATTTTCATTACGCATTTCGCTCGACGTCAAAGTTTCTAATTCAATTGAGGGAGGGGGAGACTTTATTTCCAATCAGGTGGCCATCGCTAAAGTTCATCGGAGATTACATTATAACACTTACCACGTCGTCTGAGTTGCATCCGCGTGTCGTTGTTCGAGTCCTCTTACGCAATTGGAAAAAATCATTATTTGCGTCAGAGAACCGCGATGGCTTTCCCATCTTGTTCTCTCTTCGGTAGCTCATGAACACATTGTTCGCTTTGCATGGCCATAATTCATGTGTATTCGTCGTAAGTTGCCGTACTCGCTCTCCATTTTTTTTTTTTTTTTTTTTACTAGAGCATAGCCCCGTTTCTTATCTACGAATGGGACTTTTCCAGCAATTAGATAGCCCGGTTAGATTGGATTTTTATTTTTTACTTTTTTCTTGTCACTCACGGAAATATAAATAAAACGAGGGATTTTTAGGTTTTGATTTTAAAATAACCACCAGTCTCCAACAGCTAGAAAAATTACGAGTATCAAGCGACTATGCTGAGCTTCTTTTAAACGCAAATTCAGCTTTTAAAAATTGAGCTGAGATATCCATTTGGTTGAAACGAGAAAACGTATGATATTTTTGAAAGTTTTACATATGTTTCTAATCGTCTCGGTATTAATAATATACATCTTGCCTAGTATTCCTTTCTAAAAATTGCTTCGTTCAAGACTTTTACTTAATGAGATTCTTTAAGACCTTTAACTCTTTTTAGTAAATTGTTATCAAAATAATATAGTATGAATTATATTCGGGCTTATAACTTATTTACACAACAAAGATGCAAAATTAGCCTAAAATAAAATAACCGTTTCAATAGTTTTATAGCTCGCGTATATTTTCCAAATTAATATGTTTTTGTTAAAAAGATGCTAATGAATTATGCATGATAATGCCAAAGTCGAAGAGATATATATTCAGATTAACAGAGCCGTCCGTGAAATTAACACGAGCATCGCAAAATAATTAACAACCAACTATTGTCCATCCATGTGGCGAAATTGTGTACATAAGGCGGCGTGGATGGCAAGTTCCGACACTTCGAGCAGGACAACGAGTACAAGCTGCAATTGAACCTGAACCACGGGCTGAAGTTTCCGCTGTCGAAGGCCGTGACCGGAGCCTGCGGGGCCGGAGGCAGCCTCTACGGCCGACTGCCCAACCAACAGACCCGAGGTATGCACACGTTACTACGTGGAAAATAGGAAGTGTAGGTGCCTTATAAGGAGAGCCCGTCGCCACGACGGAAATACGCCCGTCCGCGATATTTTCGGAGCAATTGCAAATGGGCGAGGACGGAAGGCTCGCCTCGCGTATTACCGTCGCTCTCAACTTTCCCTTTTTTACTTCGCGGAGTTGAATTTCCTTTCCGGCTTGCCACGCGTCAAGAAGACCCGCCTTTTTAAAAGGCCTGCACATAATCTCTGATTTATTCTTTTCGTCATTATATGCGGAAGATATTTTCGAGCATTCTTAGCTTTTATATTCTCAGTTAACTCAAGGCGACTGCTTTAGGCCGTCTCATTCCGTAGAATCGACAATGCCGTGCGTTGAAGATATTTCATCCGTGCTGTTGACCTCGAAAAATATGATTGCTATGAAAATGTATTCTTATGAAAGCAGTGAGATTACTCTTATTGTCGTTAACTGCAATTATACTCATTTAAAATGGTTGAATTATAAACAATAACAAATTTTTATCCTAAATACAGTCTTTGAATTGTCATTTAACTTTATAATAGTAGAACTTGCTGCGAATGTTTTAATTTTAATTTTCGTTATAGATTATTCATTGTAAATCAAATCTCAAATCACATTGAGATATTGAACTGCACTTATAAATGTTAAATATTATATTGTACAATCGAATGCTTGTATTACGGATTTTATGTTTTATAGATTTTTCATAATGCATGCATTTTATTCTAATTTAGAAATAGTGAATTATTCATTATTCAAAATATCATTCAAATATTAATTTTTAATTATTGAAAGCCATAAGCAATTAATGCTTTTAACTATGCGATCATAAAAAAATAATAAAAAAAAAGCCAATAGTAACCATATAAACATAATGTGTAAATAAAATCATTCATGTGAAAAGATTAATATTTGAAGATAAGGTGATTTATTGTAGATAAATATTTTTCCGGTGATATCTTAGTACTTATTGTTAATGATAACTATACATAAACAAATAGAAATTTGAAAATTTATAAAACTCTTATTTCGTAAAAATACTTCAACATTATTAATTAATTTTTCTACATTCTACGAATGATTGTAGTGCATGTTCATGCAATACTCATGCGCTTAATTAATTGCAATGAATTTACATATAATGATCATTTAGATCACTTTGAGCATTCTTAGTATTATTTTTTAATGATTTATAACTTATCTAGCGAAAGTACCGGTCTAGCAGTCAATTCAAGGGCTCAACCACGTATATCGATTATTTACGTATCAACAGTTTTAATCAACAATTTTATTTGTTTATTATTTCACCTATTTCCTTTGCTAAAGACAACAAATCTTCCAAATTAGACACCATCTTATAACGATGATCAATACCAATAGGTCGAAATGGCGCAACCTTACTGGGCATACACCAGTATGGACGAAGTGGACTCGCAGGTGGCATCAGCCGCTATGCATCAATTGCCCCTGATGTCTCCTCGTATACGGGTTCAAACTACGACTCGCGACAACGTCTCGAATGTAAGTCGCCGAAGACGCGACGGGTAACACGCGCAAATAGCGTAAATAATGCTAACCTCAGGCCGAGCCTTTCCACCGAACAGCAACACCATCAACAACTTGACTCCAAGCGTAAATTGAACGGTGACATATCCGAATCGAAGCTCGATAATCTCATGCACCTTGATGAACAGTCATACGGAGTAAGTCTATCTGAAATGAAACTCGGGTGGCCCTTGTTTAAAATGAAACGATGAAACAAAAACAATAACTTTTTTTTAACTTTGAGTTGTCTGACAATTAATATTAGTGAGACAGCTAACACGAATTAAATGTCATTGTTTGTAATCAAGATTTTATTCTTAAACAATTATATATGTTCTATTTTATTAAGACCTAGAGAATCAATAAACTATACTACGTACTTTTTATAAAATCATTTTAATTTATATAACAATGTTTATATTTAATTATGAATAACTTATACACTAGAAAATAAAATTTTTAAATACTTAGAACAACAACATTGTAACATTTAGCTGCAAAATATAACCCCAAATAAAAAAGATTAAAATATGGTTTTTGTAATTCGTTATAAATATAAATTTAATCATGCAATTGATTTTTCGTTGATTTTCAAACATTAATTTTCGAAATTATGTAGACTCATTGTAATATATAATGATATATTATCGTATGATATTGATGATGATTATGGTTTAAAATTACAACTTCTTACTTTAAATGGACTATAAAATCAATTATTTTATTAGTTATAAATACTTTATTGAAAAACAGTATGGGACTAATTTAATTAATAATAATTTGATTACCTACAATCTTTTTAATTTACATAATTTCATAAAATACCATGCATATGGTCTACCATGAATTAAACATACTATTTATATGTGTATTATTTCATATTTATTTAATTATTTAATGTTTTTAAAAATAAACGTTTTAAATTAAAATTCTTAATTTATATTGATATATTAAAACATAGCAAAAATTAACTTTAAACGGTTTTTTCGTAACGAAGTTTCTTGTCATTTACAAATCAGAGTAAATTATTTTTTGGATTAGTGCTATTTTTAAATATTTTATTTCGTTTAATTTTAGCATCGCTTATTTTATAAATGCTTAAATAAAATGTATCCTCATAAACAATAAAATTTTTATTATTCCCACAATACAGATTAGTTATAGACCGTTTATATTCCTTGTCATCGAAAGTTCAATGGCCTATATTATAAATAAAATAAATCATTATTGTCTTGTTATTAGCCTTTATCATTTATCATATAAAATTTTCGAGTACATTGCCTTTGCACATAAACGTTGAACCACAATGTCCCAGAAGTACTGTTCAAGGAGAAAATCGTAAATAATCTTAATTGATTAAACGCTCGTGTTTAGTGTGTGGCTCGTCGACCGAAGCACTTCGCTAAGAGTCTGGATGAGATTCGTGAGGAGGTACCTCAACGCAAAATACTGGTCCAGCAGGTCTCCGCAGCCGCAGTCGTCGTCGCCGCCGCCCTTCGCAGGAACCAGAGCTTCGACTTTCGCCCGCGCTACCCGAGGATCGAACTTCCCTTCGTCAGTTCGAGGACATACGATGTGAAGCGCGAGTTGGCGATCAAGAAGAATATTCAACAGAGCAATAGAGGTGAGTTATTGACAGGACCCGAATTTTTATGCCAAAGAAGAAAGCAGGTTTCCAACGCTTAACGTTCTATCTGTTTTCTCAAACTGGAATAATCATTTGGTGGATTGTTTGCTTGAGCGAACATTGATCGATCAGCTTCTATTCATTTATTTTGAACAGTTTCTCAGTATAGACATCTATGAAGTATTCAAGCTATAATGTTCTTAGATAAATCGACCATTGGCTTATTCTCGATGCTTTCGTTTTAATTTATTTTAATTTATTTTAGTTCTGAATTAGATATTCAATGTCTGTAGCCTGGAAAAAGGAGATATTTAGTTAATCAACAATACATATTTTATGCATAATATGGAGAGAAGCTCGCGGAGCTACTTCTATTATCCGTAAATAATAACGTTTCACCTCATACAGAGTGAAATTAAATTTTCTCGCACCGACTATGTCTTCGGATGGTTTCACGTTCTTTGCTAGCATCCGTTTCTCGCGCTTTTCAATCTTAGACGCGATAATCATTCATTAAATACATATGCGCATATGTATTACTTTCATCTAATACATATTGTTCCAACATATTGTTGGATTGTTCTTCCATATATTTATAATACCATAATAGTAGGTGTAGCTTGCCACTAGCTTTTCTTATTTATTTTAATTTCTTGTAGGTAATGTATATTATTTTTGCTGGTACAGTGGCGGATTTATCTTATTAGGGTCAAGTTTAGTCATGTACACGAATGCGCGTTTAAAAAGTACACAAACACAATTCCCTTATTTTCTAGTATTTTCATATAATTTGTTTAATTTTTTTAATTATCATCATTTTTTACCGTGTCTGAAGAAAGATTAAATGATGTAGAGTTCAGTTCATTATTTGAAGGGAAACAGAATTTGAAGGAATGAAATAAATTATATTCCATTCTTAATTATTGAGAATTTGTACTTTCCAAAGAAAATGAATTGTCAATTATTAAAATATTTTTGCTTACTTGAATTAATTTTCATTTTAAATGGATAAAATTTTTTTTTATTAATGATAAAGCAAAATATATTGTTCATGATATTAAAACAGTGTTTTAAATTACATGAGAGATAATAAAATTCATTTCAAAGATGAAACGTGACTTTTTGTACATTGAATAAAATTTGTTGAATCAACAATGTGTTATTTTAAAGGATGAATACAAAATATTTATGTGATTTGAAGATGATGTAATTAATTTCGGATACACTTAATAATAAAAAAATTTAATATTATAAATTACTTCAAGATAATTTAAAGTTTTTACAATTATAATTTTAACTTTTATTAATAAATTCATAATTACAATGAGAAGTGTTATTTAATTTACTTTCACATTTTCATGATTGAAATGAATTGTATTTAAACAAATAGCCATTTATATATATATTTTTCCGGTAGTGGATATTTTTATACTTATCAGACTCACAGAATAATATGGTCTTTCTCTCTTATAAATATTTTTGTAGAAATTATTTTTTTTTTATATTATAAAGCTAGTCCATAATTAAATTATTTATATACATGCATTTAGCAATAAAAATACTTTGATATTAAAAATTTGTTAGTGCGTTAATTGCAATGATAATATTTTTTATAATGTTAAATTCTTACAACATTTATTTACTCTATATTATTGAATAATAATTAATTTTTTTAAATATATGGAAAAACATGTAAATTTAATGATTAAAGAGTAGAGGAAGTTAATGATTGTTATAAAAATTTCTATAAGTCTAGTCAATGATCGGGTTAGTTCTCCAAAACAGCCTCACTTCAATTATCTAACAATATTATTCATTCACTAACACACAAAATATTGAATATACCATACCAATTCTTTCATGCTAAAATTCAATGTACCGATTTCCAAATTTCCTCGAAAGGAGATGCAATATAATTATATAGATATGCTGTTTACCAACAGCATATGAAGATGACGGCGTTGGCTATGATACGTCCGATGATGAAAGCTGTGACCTTGAAAACCGTGATTTCGATACGATGAGTTCCTGTCGCAGTCGAGCTCGTAGTTGCTGCTCCGTGACAACTGTCGCCAACGATGATTTTGAGTACTTCCAGCGCAAGGAAATGAAGGTGAGTTCGAAGTTAGTTTTGTCAGTTTGTTTGGCCATATCTAGAAGTCTTCGAGTGCGGCGGCGAATGAACACTAAATTTAACAGAGCTTTTTCTCGTTATCGCTCCGAATGCTTTATTCCAAGCGGTGGATATACTTCATTAATTTAAAGATTTTTAATTTTGAAAGATTATTTTTGAACGAATTATCTATAATTTTTATATAGATTTTTTTGAGTTTCATTAACTGATTCACCAAATATGCAACTTCAAAGGAATTCGGGTCATTTTTTCAAATCCATTCATACATTACTGTTCCAGTTTTACATATTACAAGCTTCGTATAATAAATTGATTTGCTGTACACTTTAATACAATCACTTTAATAGTACTGCAGTAGATTTTTAATATATAATTTTACGTACAAATGACAATGGCTGATATAATTATCATACGACCTTTTTTACAAGTTTAATATGTGTAATAGTTATTATAATCAAGAGACGATTTTAATTCAGTTAATTTTAGTATTTATGTATAATACACGAAATATGAAGATGTTCCTTAAATTATATAAATCAATCATTTTTCATTTATTTAATCGTACACTATTCATCTTCTGATGTCAAAAATAATATTATCTCTTTAATTTCTCTAATGAATAAGAGCTTAAAATATACTGATTTTCTAGTAAATGACTTTACATGATCCTTAAATACTTTATTTTATTGCATACTTAGTGCTGAGTTGCTTTTATAAATATCGTTTCACATGTATTAAAGCAATTACATTCATAATGCAACAAGACTGCTTATAGGTATTATTAAAACATTGTTGTACAATTGGCAAAATATTCATTGCAGTAGACAAATAAATATAGAGCTGTAGTTAAGCGAGAGGCTTCTTATACGATCCATTGTAGTCATAGTGCAATACATAGATCATAAAATTTGATTATATTTATTTGTAAGAGATAAGCATCGAGGGCTTGTTCATTAACGGAATTCGCTTGAAATTGTACAACGTTTATTCATTATTCTCCGAGGAATATGGACTTAGTTTCGTTAAAAGCTTCAATTAGGCAAATTTTAATTCAATGTACATTCGCTCGAGTCGCTACACGCAATCCGCTGAAATTCGGTTTAATACTTAAGCACGAACCGGAAGCTCATCCTTTCAACGTGATTAACCACATCGTTTCGTGTCCTTGACTGTACTTACTGTAAGAAAGACGTCGAACAAGTAATCGACTTGATTTATCGCGCCTCGTTCATCCATTGACAATAGACCTAATGCTAAAAATCACTGAAGCCTTTTACAATGAGTAAAATTTCGCAGCCCCCTTATTACATGAGCTCTATTTATTATTATAAAAGAATTACTTGCGTGTGAATTATGGCTCAATTGTTAGAAACTAGGCTCTGCTGTCGGAAGAGAATTCTGTGAATATTAGTGGTTCGATTGAAGTTGCTGAATCAAGAAATGATCAAATTCTATCGGTTATTATACTTGTAGATCAACAGAGAATTGAAGCAGGTCTGAGATTCTGCGGGTTTGATGATTTTTGTTGTTGTTCGAATGGTTCTTATAAATTAATTGGCCTAATTGACGTTCTGAAAATAAGTTTCCTTGATTGATTGAACGGAATTTCATGAATTATATCATACGAATTAAATAGATGAAATCATATAGTTATAATTATTTGATAATTACTTGATAATGTTTTTTTTTTTTTTTTTTTTTTATGAGAATCGAAGTTATTTTCTCATTAGAAAAAGACAATAACTATAAGAATATATGTACTTAGGTCTATTAGCCATTCATTACTCTATAGTAAAAGCTCATTTCCATTGTTTCATTAAAATTAAAGCTCAAAGAATTTCAACTTCCACTATTAGTGATCGTTATTAAAAATGTTAATACTCATGAAGTAGGGAGAAAAGCTTACTGTTTTGACGTTAATGCAATTATTAATTTGAATTATTATAAAATTTATATTGCGGATCTTTAGTATATTATATACATACATGCATTATGCATACATATGAAAATATAACTAGGATATAGTAAAGGAAAAGTTTATTTTTTAGGCTTAAAAAATATATAATTAGGTTTTTTCTTTTATTTTTTTCATTTAAATACATCTATTATTTAACTGTAAAATACTTCGCTTCTATTATAATAAATTCTTTGTTTTAACTATTTTTCGAAATATTTTTACATTTGATTACAATTAAAAATTATTGGATCAATACATTTATTATTCATAACGTGAAATGAAATTTAGTTAATAACAATTTTAATGAGTTTCGTGAAATAAATGATAATATTGCTATTTATTTATGTTCCTTTATTTATTGAAAAAAATTATAAGTTTATAAACTTGATAGATTATGCGAGTCTTTGCCTAACATTTACAATAATTGAAAATAAAATCACCGTCTAAAATAGTAATAAAATAAAGCACAAAAAGAGATAATATTATAAAATGTCATTATATATGTCGATATACGACTGTATGTTATCTATAAAAATATAATGATTTCTAATAACATGATCACTGTCTTTAATTTATTTTTGTAGCATTACTAACTTTAAAATTGTATACATGAAATTAAAGAAAGTCTTATTCGTTAACCCCTATGAAACGTTCATTTTATAATTTAGTTCTATTTCAACCCAGGATTTGTCAAGCCACGTTTCTCGACCTCTTGAGACCAAAGGCAGTATGCGTAGTTTTACGCCCCGAATAATTGAAGCCACGACTCGACTGGAGAATTCGAAGCCCATTGTCCAGTCGTTTCAACTGAAAAAGAAAATGATTCCGGGCTACTCACTCAATGACCTTGATAGGCTCAACGTGGCCGTGGCTAAACAACCGTCGCTCTCCATCGAGAATCTCAAGAGCATCCTTAGGAGCTCCGATGTCAGTTACCTGGACAACGGTGAAATATGCAGGCACGACATTGGCGGGTCAGCGCCCGACTTCAAGAAGATCTTTGTTACAGAATTCATTTAAAATTTCGTGTTCTCTCTTCTCTTTTACTCAATTTACGTATCTCTGAACTTCTTAGACTTCACAAGAATGAACTGTGGTGCGCCAGTAGCAAATAGTAGTAAACATACATTATACGACACCTTTTTCTTTGCCTATTAGAGTTTTTGGTTATTGTAAAAGGAATTTCTTAGTTTATCAAAGCTGATTTGCAACATTCATTTTATGCAATTTCTAAAGTTTCAAAACTTTATTTCGTTATTATATTTTTAGGGTATAAGATCATTCTATTTGAAATTTGAATAGATAAAATTAATTATTTACAATAGTTTCTATCGTTAAAATAGGCAATATATTTGATAATTTTGGTCATTAATAATTATGAAAAAAGAAAAAAAAAACCACGGTTGAATAGTATTTTAATCCAATTTTCGATCAATAATTAGTAGAATATCTTCATTTAAACATAGCACACAAATAGATTAGATAATTTGAAAATACTAATTTTTCAAAAAATCAACAATGACTTTCGAAAGATAAAAATATCATATTTTAATGCATATAAAGTTTTTGTAAGACTTAAAGTATAGCGAAATATCTCTATAATTCAAAATATTAGATCAAATCAAATGTTCGTCTTAAATTTTAAACCAAAATTAATATTATATTAAAATAATTTAGTACTATTCTCTTGTGATGATAAAAGTTTTAACGGAGATAGCTTTTTTGAATGATTATTGTTAAATATATAATATTTATATGAAAATTTTTCTGTCATAAAAAATTCTTTTAATTAAATATAGTAATTTCGACGTATTATAAGAAAATAATCTTCATTACTCGTTTGATTAATAACAGAAGATAACCTAAATGTTAATTTTATGGAAAATATTTTTAATTTAAGTAGCTATTGAATTAAATTAAATATTTTGTTCCAATTTTACTTTGCATCAGTAATAATATTTGTGAAAAAAGCTCTTCTTAGCTCTAAGAAATTCAGAGGCCTAATTTTGTGTTATATATATAACAATCTCTAATTTTTTTATATTGTTCAGTGTTATTTAGTTTTATTTTATTTTTTTTATTTTTGCTCGATTTTTTACTTTATCAAATAAGAAAGAAGTGACAAAATTTTTCGAGGATATAAATTTAAATTTCTTTATCAATTACAATTTTCTATTTAATATGGTGAATAAATTAAGAAATTCATTTTTTATCTATGTCACTAAATTATTAATTAATAAAAATCGAGCGATTTAATAAATAAATATTGGACGATGCTAACGATTCTATTCTAATGAGGCATGTGTGAATACTTAATAGTAAGAATAAGTATTTTTCAAAAATAAAGTTATGTTTATAACTTATACACGACATAACTTACATAATTTTTTGATTTAATAGTAGTATATTAAAATTAAAAGCATATCATATTTTCTTACAAATATAAAATGAAATACAAAGTATGAAAATATTTTTTGGTAATTTTATTGACTATTACAAAGCAATTAAATTTTAAATAGATTACCACATGTTGAATGGAAATTTATAAATTCTTTACACTTAATCCATATATTTCACATAAGTTATTAATTTTTTGTATTAAAATGAAATATTTATTAAAGTCAATTTATTATTGACTTTAAGAATTGACAATTCTATTTAAAGTTTTTAAATAATATTAGTTAATTAGGAAAGAACCATTTAATGTAGCTTCGAATAGAAAAAATAAAAATATAATGAAGATAATTCTGATGTCATTGCTAATGTTTAAATAAATAAACGTTGGGACATCCAAGAAAAAAGGTAAACATTTACGCGTGATGTCATTATAAAATATTTTTAATATTTTTGTAAAATAAATTTGTGTATAATCTTTGAATTTCGAACGTGCCTTACAGCAATAACTTTACCGTCGTCTCAATAAATATTAAGTATTACGGAAAGTAAGGTACTGTAACATCCGAGACAACAAATTATATTAAAATTGAATATAAACTTAAAAATTCACTATCGATAATTTTTAACTTTTAAAATGTAATTATTAAAAGTATATTCCAAAAAATAATAAAGTCTTATCAATGACTTTAAATATATAAAAATAGTATTGATAATGTCTTTCTAAAGATTCCACAAAGAATTATAGTGAAATCTTATGTAATTATTTTTGTGTATAACATATTTTTGATAAATTTACTTTCTTATATTAATATTATATGAAGTACGTATGAATGAATCGTTTGTGAGTAATTTGTTAACAGTGTCTATATTATTTGGCATAAACAAACATTATAAAAATGGATTATGCAGATGACGATGCAAATCGAATAGTTTAGTTATGGTATAAGTGAAAGTTTGTATCAATATCAAACGATATAAGTATTTTTGTATTTTTTTCGTTTTATAATATTTGCACAATTTGCGCTTAATTAATCCCCAGTGAAATGGTTTAATAATAGTAATAACATGTAATATCTCCTTATAAATACTGAATTTTGTAAATAATAAAGCTGTATATTTCATCGTAATGTATTTAAGTAGAATAAAAAGATAAAAAATATATGAATATAAATATAATATAGAAACATGTCTAACATTGCATTTATGTATACTCGGAGTACACGAATATAAAAAAAAGAGATAATATTAAAATAATATATGAAAAGGTTATATTAATTCGTAGTTTCTTACTTAACAAAAATGTATTATTCTTAGTAGTGCATATACATATATATATACAGTTTTAATGCACCCATTGATTTTTGATGAAGATAGTGAAAGAAGATGATATATGGGGGGGGGGGGTTTGGTTTAAAAGAACACATAATAAATTTTTACAATACACACAGCGTATTTTTATACGTAGCAGGTATATTTGTATCATTTATTATTTTTGGCACAATCAGAAGCTTCAAGTTTTTATATTAAAATTATTAATTTAACTTCTATCGGCGCATTTTCGCTTGTTCATTACTGACTGTTTGATGGTTTGATGGAGTTCGCAAAAAAAACCTTTAGTTACAGCCAGAATTATATAAATTCTAAATACGTAATTAATCTATTCGTTTTTATCAATGAATATTTTATAGGTATTTGTTTAATTTTTTTTAATTGCTTTACATTTTAAACATTTTAAAATAGAGACCATATTGCGATAAAATATACATTTTATAAATATATATTAAATTTAAAAATAATTTTTGTCTATTTATTGTTTTATACTTTTTTTATAAATAATATTTATAAATAATTTATTTCTTACGACACTAGCAAAAAAATATATTTTTTAAACTAATACTAATATTTTTTGTACTAAATATTTTTAAATAATTTTATTTAAATCAGATCCGAGTTTAACAAAAATAAATAAATATTTATTTCAATTAATTAATTTTTAAATGCTGATTTTCATAATTTTAAAGAACTGTAAAAGTAATAGTATTTATTATAAAATTTATTATATAAAAAAATAAACGTAATAATATAAGCAGTTTTCAATCTATAAATATACAGATTTCAATTTGGGTTAATCAAGTTTTATTATTCTATTATTTCATTATTAAAGAATGTAAACTATTTTTATATGCTTTTAAATATTTTATATGCTTTTTATGATTTATTAAATTAGTTATAAAGTGTTAATACTTTAAAAAATTTCAATAGGAGAAAAACTACGTAAATAGATATTTTACACATGTACCAACACAAATAAGTCAAACATAAGTTTTTTTAAGAAATATTTCAATTTATTACATTTATTTATTTTTACATTTATCGAAACTAGATAATTAAATATAAAATAATTAAATAAAGTAATTACCGATTTGATAAATTTACTTTAAAAAATAATAATTCAAAATAAATGAAGAATGAATGATAGGAACAGGGCAGCCTTTAAAAATTGTCTAAATTATTCATAAATTTGAGTTTGTAGGGGTACTAATATGTTCTATGATATTAATAAGGTAAAAACTTTAATAATGGCCATACATTTCACATTTTTCACTTATACGAATGGGCACGAAAATCCAAAATGATGCTTGCCAAATCATCTGTCTAGATAATTGGATAGTACGAAGCTATACGAAGGGCTATAATACGAAAACTTATTTACTTTCGCATCTGCATCTTTTAATAATTATAAATTATAATTTTTGTGATAAAGTATTTATTACAATTTTATACAATAAAGTGTTTATAATTAAGATTTTTTCCTATATCTTTTTTTTTAATTTCTTCGTAGCGCCCAATCCTTTATAAAAAGGAGATGAATTTTATGTAACATTATGTACTTATATAAACAAATGTGCTATATTACATATATTATGGTGCTAGTATATTATATTCATAATGCTTACATCTTTATCAACATAAATAAATAAAATTATATATATATGAATAGTATTTAAAAAGAGAATTCGAAAAATCTCAATTTATTTTTAATAAATAATTTTTAAAGTCAATTATATAATGATGGAATGTTTTGGTAACCATTTTTCTTTTTAAATTGGGTAAAAACAATAAAAAATCCAATTAGTGTTTTAAACTTGTTTTTTCTCTGCTTAGGACCTAACTAATAAAATAATGGTTAAATACTTATATAAGCAATAAAAAGTGTTTCCTGTTATATGGTGCTTACGAATCTATTCAAACATTGTAATTGAAATATTGATAATAATTATATTTATTAAGACTTCAATATTTATTGAAGATAAGAATATATAAAATTAAAAGCATAATGTTCAGGAAACAGCTTTGTTAATAGTAGTATTGTTAATATTTTATATGTCCATATTCAAATAAAGTGACGCGTTTACATGTCATTTATGTGTGGATTTGCATATATGTGCACATCCATATGCATGCATGTGTTGCTTTACCGCGTTGAGCTTACACATTATACACATAAACGTGGCGAACCTCTATGGCGGTTTTTATCTCCGTATTTTTCAAGATTAATTAATAAAAGTATAAACATAAATAAAAAATGGCTTATGAATGACAGTTACTGATTACTTTAATTAACGAAAGAAATTTTTAAAATGGTTCGAAGTAGTGACAAGTAAGTATTATTCAATTATATTAAAATGATTGAGGTTATGTCAGAAACGCTAATTTTACTTTTTACTATAAATTGCATTTCATAACATACTTGTTCTTTATTACGTGGGGAAATATCTAATTTTAAGATATTGTTATTAACAAAATATGTAATTCAAATATAATTATTTTTTAAAATATTTCCCAATACTGCAAGTATAAAATAACATTAAAATGTTAATTACTCAATAATTCATATTTATTAAATTAATTTATTATCATTTATTTTGACTTACATTTTGATAATTTTTTAGGGATAGACATCATCGAAGAAGATCTCGTTCTAGATCAAGATCTCGTTCCGCTACACCAGAAAAAAAGAGGAGACGTTCAAGGAGCAGAGATCGAGATAGGGACAGAGAAAAGACACGTCATAGAGATAGACGTAGTCGTTCTCGTGAAAAAGAAAGAGAAAGAAGTGATCGAAGAGAACGATCTGACAGAGATAGGGATCGTGACAGAGATAGGAAAAGGTAAAAGTTGTTAAGTATTAAGAAAATTATGTAATTAATTAGAAGTAGTTTATTAAAAACTACATTTATAGAATGATTAAGTTTTGTTTATAGTTGATAAAATTCCTTTTATTAATCTAAAAGCATTACATATTTTTATACTTTATTTATAACTTTTATATATTATTTTTTTATATTTGTAATTAATGATAATGAGAAATTTCAAAATTTTTTTTTACATTATATTAATAACTAGATAATTTAAATAGATTAATTAATAAATAGATCCAAAATAAATATATTAAAATGAAATAAAATTTTATATATCAAATTATTACTTTATTAATTTTTGTATTAAAGCGCTTAATTATTTAGTTCTATAGAATTTAATATAATGCTGGCAGTAGTTAATACTAGATTTTTTATCATAACTATATGACGTGCATATTTCTATTCACAGTCTATTTATATTATTGTTTTAAAGTTATGCAATAACACACATTGTGTTAAATGTACTTATATTATCATACTTTGTAGTAAAAATTCAAAATAATTTATAACAGAATATTATTAAATCAATGATAATTGATTGTTTTCTGTAAACTAGTGGAGACAGTAAAGAAAAGCGTCTTACAGGCTCAAAATCTTCTCGATCTGGTAAAGAACGATCTAATAGATCAAGGTCACGAGAGGGGAAAGACAAGGATAAAGGTGACAATGAAGAATTACCATTTGATCATACAAAACTTGATAAAGTAAAGACAATTAAAGTCATAAAATTATTTATATGATCTAATAAGGAATTTTTTGTTAGTAAACCTTTTAATTTAATTTTGTATTAGGAAGAAGAACAGAAGCGTTTAGAATTAGAGATGCAGAAAAGAAGGGAAAGAATTGAAAGGTGGAGAGCAGAGAGAAAGAAAAAAGAATTAGATGCCACTAAAAAGGATGGAAAGTCAACAATGTTAGCCAATTTACAGTTGCCTACAGCAAAAAAATGGTCTCTTGAAGATGATAGTGACGAGGAACCTCCCATTGTTTTGAATAAAGACATAAAAGAAGAAAATGTAAAAGAAGAGAATGAAGAGGAAAAAGTTGAAATTAAAAAGGAAAACGAAGAGGAAATTGATCCATTAGATGCTTTTATGGCAGAAGTGCAAGAAGAAGTTAGAAAAGTAAACAAGATTGATAATAAGGCTGTGAAGCCAGGTAACTTAATAAGCAAAATAAATTATTATAAACTGTATGACAAAGTATATTTACAATTATATAAATTAAAATTTGAATTACCTGTATATTTATATATCAGAGGTAAAGTAAGGGGTTTATTACAAATTTTATTTTTATTATTAAATTATAGGTACTAATAATATAGTAGCCCCATCAACTGGAGGTGTTGTTATTGTTACTGGGGTAGCAAAGAAAAAGGTACAAAAACAAAAAGGCGAATTAATTGAACAGAATCAAGATGGTTTGGAATATTCAAGTGAAGAAGAAGGAGAAAATCTTCACGAAACAGCTGCTGGAATTGCAAATAAACAGAAGCGTGAATTGGCTAAAGTTGATCATAATGCTACGGACTATATACCATTTACAAAGGCTTTTTATCGTGAAGTTCCTGAAATAGGTAATACCTTTAAGAGATGAGAGATAAATAGAAAACATTGTAATAAATTAATATATAATATAGTATTGATTTGTCCTCTGAAATCATAGATTCAATACTTACGTTTGAAGAAAATAAATTAAATTACATTATTATTAGTAATTACAGAAAAAGATTTCACATAATAATAAAAATTAATTATAGAAATCAAAATAATAAACCAAAATACTTTTAGCACGTATGACATCTGACGAAGTAGAACTGTACAAAGAGGAGCTTGAAGGCATTCGCGTAAAGGGTAAGAATTGTCCAAAACCCATAAAATCGTGGGCGCAATGCGGAGTTTCAAAGAAGGAGCTCGATGTACTGCGAAAGCTCGGTTATGACAAGCCGACGCCCATTCAGTGTCAAGCGATACCAGCGGTGATGTCGGGCAGGGATTTAATTGGTATCGCTAAGACAGGCAGCGGCAAGACCCTTGCCTTTCTCTTGCCGATGTTTAGGCACATACTGGATCAGCCGCCTCTCGCCGACGGCGATGGACCCATTGCCCTGATTATGACACCAACCCGTGAACTATGCATGCAAATTGGAAAGGATTCGAAGAAGTTTACCAAGAGTCTTGGGCTGTCGCATGTCTGTGTTTATGGAGGCACCGGTATTTCCGAACAAATTGCCGAGCTGAAAAGGGGTGCAGAGATCATTGTGTGCACTCCTGGAAGAATGATCGACATGTTGGCGGCAAATAATGGAAGAGTGACAAATCTCAGGAGGGTTACGTACGTTGTACTAGACGAGGCCGACAGAATGTTTGATATGGGCTTCGAACCGCAGGTTAATATTTATTTTTATTCTTATTTATAAAATAATTTATTTAACAATTAATTATTTTAATAACGATATATAATATTCATTAATGAAATCATTGAGTTATACTTAAATTGTTTTACTTTAAATTATATTTAAACTTGTGTATGAAAGAACGTTTTCAAATTTATGCAATAATATTGAGATTTTAATGGTTTTTTAAATTATTTTAAGGTCATGCGAATAATGGAGAACGTTCGACCGGACCGGCAAACCGTTTTATTCAGTGCGACATTTCCCCGACAAATGGAGGCCTTGGCCCGTAGAATTCTCACAAAACCTGTGGAAGTGCAAGTAGGTGGTCGATCGGTGGTGTGCAAAGACGTGGAGCAGCACGTGGTAGTGCTCGATGATGACCAGAAGTTTCTGAAGCTGCTAGAGATACTCGGTCACTATCAGGACAAGGGTTCAACGATAATTTTTGTGGATAAGCAGGAGAACGCGGATACGCTACTCAAGGACCTTATGAAGGCCTCTTATTCGTGCATGTCCTTACACGGGGGCATCGATCAGTGTGATAGGGATTCAACGATACTAGACTTTAAGGCGGGGCGGGTAAAGCTTCTGGTGGCAACGTCAGTAGCTGCAAGAGGTTTGGACGTGAAAAGCCTCGTACTGGTGGTTAATTACGACTGTCCTAATCATTATGAGGATTATGTGCACAGGTGTGGTCGAACTGGTAGAGCTGGAAATAAGGGGTAAGAGTCTTTGGGAATAGTTGTTTGTACATTTATTTTATAGTCCTATTGCTTTGTGATTTTCGCAGTATACTATTTTATAAAATACTTTTTTTCTTAAAATTTAATGAGATCTGAAATTAAATCTAATCTTAGCGATGAATTTTTTCACTTACATGTAATTAAAAAGTAATTTATTCATCGAAGTGATTATGATCAAATTTAGAATGATGTGCATTTGAACGCTCAATTTATGTTTGATACTATGGAACTTAGAAATTCTTTAAAACAATATGCATTATAATAATATTAATCGCACCCCAATTATCTAAGTGACTTTTTAGAAATTATTACTACTACTAAATTATATAATAATATAATAATAATAATTATTATTTATTTATTCAGTTATGCGTACACGTTTATCACACCAGAGCAAGAGCGCTACTCGGGCGATATCTTACGGGCGTATGAACTCGCGGGTGTACCGGTGCCGGAGCCGTTGCGTCTTCTTTGGGAAGGTTATAAGAGCCGACAGGAGGCTGATGGCAAGAAGGTCCACACGGGTGGTGGGTTTAGTGGCAAAGGTTACAAGTTTGATGAATCTGAGGCGGCTCTCGCCAATGAGAAAAAGAAATTCCAGAAGGCGGCTCTTGGCCTCCAAGACTCAGACGACGAGGACATCGAGAATGATATCGACCAGCAAATCGAGACAATGTTACAGGCCAAGAAGATTGTCCACGAGATGCCAAAATCCGCGGCAGGAGCGACAGGTATGGCTGGAGCCGGCAGTCAGGCGGTTCCCAGTGCTACGGAAAAGCTCGAACTCGCGAAAAAACTTGCATCGAAAATCAATACTGCCAAGAACCTCGGTGCCGAGGCTAAGGGGGCGACTCAGCAAGTTGCTGAGGCAATCCTTAAGGGGGCCGGGCCAACCAATTTAATTACGGTATGAGTGTTCTCAAATTGGTTTTTTAGCTGATTTGACATTTATTTCTGTGCATCTTTAATTATTTGACAACATATTTTAAATAACTACAATTGCATTTGTTTTTAACAATTTAATAATTTTAATCAATAGATTGTTTTCATAATTGTTCTTACATTAACTTTTTGAATGAAACATTAAAGTACGTAGTATCTCAAATTCTAGTTTAAATAATCATATGTTCCTTGAAAGATAATAATCTATTCTAGAATAGGGCAATTAAATCATTAAAATAATCGAATAATTATCTTGTCAAATAAATTTCGTAATATGAATGACAATATTATATTTTCTTTTCTTTTTAATTAATGATAAGTTATTAATTATATTTTCAATAATATTGTAACTGTATTTGAATATGGTTTTAGAATACGGTATTCTAACCATCTTTTACTTTTTTAATCTGTCTGCAATTTAAGCGACATTCAAGAGCGACATTTCATAAATTGATAAACATTATTACTATTATACTTAACATCATTTACTATTGTCACTATTTGAGTAATAATATCCGGATGATTGTCGGTCTAACAAATATCTTTGGTTTGCGCTCATAGGCAAAGACAGTGGCGGAGCAATTAGCGGCCAAACTAAACACGAAACTAAATTACCAGCCACGGGAAGAGGATTTGATCGAGGGTGAGGGAGAGCCCGGTGAACAGACCTTCCGCAAGTACGAGGAGGAGCTCGAGATAAATGATTTCCCACAGCAGGCAAGATGGCGAGTAACCAGTAAGGAGGCTCTCGCTCAGATATCTGAGTACTCAGAGGCCGGCCTTACGGTACGCGGCACTTATATAGCTCCGGGCAAGCCACCCCCTGATGGCGAACGCAAACTTTATCTAGCAATCGAGTCGACGAGTGAGCTTGCAGTAAGTAAAGCCAAGGCTGAAGTTTCCAGGCTCATCAAGGAAGAACTTATAAAACTCCAAGCCTCTGGCGCCCACACTGCTTCACGCGGACGCTATAAGGTTCTTTAAGAAAATGCGATTTTCGTCCTCAGACTTGGGAGGCTCGCCAGCAAGAATTTCGAGTTCATGGACGATTGCAAGCACGTGAACCCACTTGGACGTCAAAAGACATTCCTGCACTCTTTGTACAAATTAATAATCTCTTGTTTTCCTGTCTGTTTTTCGAAATTTTTGTGGCAAACGTGCTTACATGGATGACTTGTGTCCGTTTTTTTTTTTTTTTTTTTTTTTTTTTTTTTTTATCGAACGCAGTTATTCACAAATATTGGACTCTTTAGCCATTAGTCCATTCATAGAGAAAAATTTCAAGAAGATATTTTACTCTTGATTTATTTACAAGAGCATTATGCGTTTAACCAGTCAACTTATTATTTTAAAAACGAACAAATTTGAACTTGCTCCTTTGTTATTTCATTTGTCCCATACATAACATGACACAATGTTTTACATTTCATATAGATATGAAACATTCAACTTTGTACATTTGCTACAAAAATTTACGAAAGCTTAGAAAATAATGTATTATTAATTTCAGTACGAAATTAAGATCAAAATAAATTGTATCTGTTTTAATGATATCTCTAACTGCAGATAATCTTTTTACTTGAACAAAATTATACTATAAAATATTCGACATACGAAACAATTTAAATACTATTTAAATAATATAAATACTATATCATGTTTCAAATATTTGACAAATTACAAACATCTATGCTATAAATAAATAAATAAATGAATATAGACACATTTTTTAATCAGTTCAAATAATTTTATGTATAGCTCATATGTTCCGAAAAATATTAATTTTGATATTAATTAAAAAGCAAATTGACCGATCTTAATTATATATATATTAAAATAGATTAGTCACTTAATTTATCACTTACATAATTTTAATTAAAGGAATTTATCGTTTCTTTGTTCGAAGTATTAACTTAATGTTAATTTGAAATATTAAAAAAAAAGTTAGTAAATATTTTAATTTTTGATAACCACTTCTCTTTTAATCAATAATACCGCAATGTTACTTTATATAAATATAAATTATTAAATATGATATTAAGAAAAATATTAGAAACTTTCAAATTAAATAATAAGTAACAATAATAATAATAAAATAATATTTCGAATATAGTAATTTCATAGTATATATGTGTGATTTAAAAAACGTATACCATTAAATTATTAATATTCAAGAGTCTGATTAAAAGAGAAGAGGCAACAACAAATTATTTTATTACATATTCAATTTAACATGAATTTACTTGCATAATTTTACCTAAAGAGAATAAATTTAGTAAAATTTCTATTTTATAAAATTGTACTTTACATAATTAAATATATCTGAAATTTAGTTAAATCAGGATTAATTTATGTAATATAAGTTTTTAATTAATTAAAAATCATTATAATTTTTAACTAACTTTTTCATTTTCATTATTTTGTTCATTATCTTGTTATATGTATAATTATATAAAATTATATGTATAATTTTGTATGCTTTTTTATAAGTAAAAAAATTATTTGAAATGTTTTATGTTTGTGATGTCAAGTATTTTGTCAACATTTTGAACTTTAAATGTAATTAGAAAATCGTAAAACAATATGAAAAATTTTAACTTTATTGTCAGATTTTTCTATGCTGAATCCAAAGTCTAATGACTAATTTTAAGAAGTAAGATTTTTTATTGTTTAAGAAATCAAGAATTTTTTATTTATTATTTTAATATAAAAATATAAAATTTCCTTGAACATATTTCTAAGCATTCTGAAATAAATAAAAATAATAAATAATATAAAAAATAAAATGTTGAAAATATCTCTAATTAAAAAAAAAAACATTCAACATTTTTACTTGTGTAAACTGTATTGTATTAGAAATAATCGAAGTTTATTCTTTTTTATTACAAAGATAGTTTCAAATTCCGTTGATTGTTTATTCGAAATTTATCTTTGAAATTACTATATAAGTATCATGGACTCGAAGTTGTGTCGTTTGTAGATGTATTAAACGAGTGTGGTAAAATTGAAACAGTACAAATGGATAATAATGTATAATTCTTAAGCATTATATCATGTTAATAGACTTTCACGAATTTGGAAAATCAATACTATTTATTTGATGGAAAATGAATTTTTGTTTTAAATGAAATTATTAATTGAACGAAGGATGTAATATTAACGAAAAAAGTGTTTGGTTAAAGATGTTTGTACTCAATACTAATGATAAAATTAAATAATTAAGTATATTTATACTTATAAAATTTAATATAAGATAAAAATTAGACATTTTATTATATATAAGAAGTCATAGTAATACAAAAGTTCATATTTAACAGTAATAACAAAATGCGTAATATTTCTTCTTGACTATAGAAAATTTTACCTTTGCTATATTCATATACATTTAATTGTAGATAACATCTATTTTTGGTATTTCTTATGATGATATGGTAACTTAATTTAGAGTGACTTAAATATATAACTATTTACAGCTTCATATACAATGAAGTTATATTTAAAACGTCTTCTCTTTGGCAGTTTTTGATCAGAGACAATGATTACACATATCTAAAAACTGATTTTTAAATTTATATACTTAATATAATTGCGTAGGCACTAGAAGAATCACAGACATTGAGAGGGTCACCATTCAAACAATGTTGGGTATTAAACTTCATTCGGTTCATTATATTATTATATTATAATTTATAAAAACTTATTCTTTTCAGTAAATTAACATATTTTTTGGCGCGTCTAGTATGTAAATATAAATATATTAAATATTGGACAATATATAATAAAATATTTTATATTTACATTTATTTATTTATATTATTTTGTATGTGGACTTTAATACGGTGTATGGATATTAATTATTATTTCTAGATGAAGTACCCATCATTGTTTATAACATTTAAAAAAATAACTTTATGATAATATCATATGACCAAAAAAGTTACTCAGAAATGACCTTTGGCAGTGGTTTAAACAATCATTTTCTTTTGCTATATTAACGTATTTTGATTTTAAAAGAATTTTAATTATTTCACACAGTGAGTTCTATGGTTATTATTGTTTCTATAGGCTTAAATACGTAATCATTTTCATTTTATCAATTTTCACCTTCATACAGCAAACTAAAAAAATGTAAGAGTCATATGTTTATTATAGTAATTGTCATAAAATAAACGAAAAATAGTATTTGTAATCTGTTATAGGATTTCAATATAAATATAGCAAAATATACGTATATTCTTTTAACCACAGCTCGAAATAAAAATATTTTCTAAATATGCAATAAATAATTTTGAAACTTCATCGATAAATGTATCATATTAATGTTATTTTCTTATTATATTAACGATATTTGCCTATTGTACCGATACTATTAGCATGAAGTTCCAAAGAAAAACAAGTCAAAACGTTGTTATAAAAAAATTATGAAAACCAAATGTTTTAGAACATAGTATTATACAAGGAAAGCAACAAACAGTCCTATTTCTATTCTATTCATGCTCTAAAAACTAAATCTGATTGAATTAAAGAAATTCTTACAATTTTCAAATCGAAAATATTAATCGAATTTCCTTTGCGCATTCTAAATTTAATCAGCTTCCTTGCCTTGCTGCTTATTTATACAAATATATATGTTATATATATATATATATATATATATATATATATATATATATATATATATCCAAATGAATTTGCATGGATTTAGAAATAGTAATGATATATTCAACAATCTATATTAAAATTAAAACTAAAACAATCGCTTGGCTCAACACTATAAAAAAAATTAAAAAAAGATTGATAGATTAGAAACTAGATCTTTTAATAATTACCGCAAAAATCTAGTTTTCTAAACTAAAAGATGTTGCATCATGAGAATCTGCATTATTCTGATAGCAATAGAATTATGTTTATCGCGTTAGGGAGACTTTGCACAAACCCCGGATCATGGTTGACAGCAGCAAACGAAGGCAATCGCTCTGCCAATAGAGGTGACTCTAATTTTCAAAAAGCGAGAACAATGCTTTTATCACTACGAAAGTAAGAGGAAGAGGTGAAGTAAGAGAATGAGGAGGCAAGGTAAGGGCAATAGAGGAAGTAGAGGAAGAGTGCCACTGGAGACCCGCGTGTGGGCCAATTCCGCCCTTGTGAGGGAGCTCAGCGGCACCTCGGCAATTATCCTCGGGCTTCGTTCGGCGATGCGACTCACAAGCTTCTCTATCTCGGCAACGCAGGCAGCCAGTTGAAGCTCCGAGGGTTTCTTGGAGGCAGGTTGATTAATGAGGAAGATGTCGCCTTCGGGCGTGACCATGCCCCGTAGCACGCACTCGGCGACCTGAAGCTGGCGCGACAGGGCCGTAAACATAGCCTCGAGAGTAACGATGTGTTTGTCGGCCTCATTCGTCAATTGATAATAGATCCTGTCCAACTATGGTACAGAGGCTGATCGTTAGCGACAATTCGAGTCATTCATCGAGCTGGGATAGCGTACCTGTTTCCTCGAATAAAAGAGTCTCGCAGCGCCACCGCACACGGGGCAGCAAGCTCCGGGTGGCGTGACCCCTTGACATGAAGAACGTGCTAGATTCGGGCAGATGACGGCAGGGCCGCAGCGGGGCTCGGCCTGCTCGCCAATGAGACCGACAGCTACACAGGGTCCAGGATAATCAGCGATGGTACGTTCGGCCCAGGCCGCACACTCGCTCGCATATGTCTCCCCGTTGATACCACAGACGGGGCCTCGAAGGCTGCAACCTCGGAGACACGGGCCCCGGTACGCGAGGTTACTGCCTGAGCGCAGCAATGAGCAGAGAGACGGATGCTGGCGGTTATCCGTGTCGCAGGCCGGACCTGTATCAAGGTTCTCTTAGTTTAATCGGAATAATACAGTGATCATTGTGGTGAATCTTGCCCGTCTATATGTAAGCATGTGGTAAGGGGAATTAGGAAAGAGATAGACAAGCGTGGGAAGTTTTAGATTTATTGTCATTTTCACTTTATTGGGAGGGTCGTTCAGGCACGCCGCATCATAAAATTATTAGACCCTTACCAAAATGAACGATTTTAATTTTAATTAAATATTCGAATACTTTTACTTGTTGATAAATTAGTTTTAAAATATTCAGTTTTCTTTGTTTGCTTTAAGACAATGGATCGGATTATTTTACACGCGGCCTGTGAAAATGAAATATATTATACTTTAACGTGCTTATTGCGACAATAACGTTAAAGAGAAGGCGGTGTGTGGCTTGCCTGTTTAGTACTATCCTTAACTGATCGAGCCGGGGATATTTGCATATCTAAACGGCAAATGGAAAATAGGAAATGGGTGTTTGGGCGTCCGGGCTAAGTTAGCTCGATACCTCGGGAATTGTCACCGTGGTCGCACTTGTGGGGCAGGCACTCGAATTGCTCACAAGGCTTGTGAATGGGCGAGAGGCAGACCCTCGGCCTCCTGACACAGCGCTCGCCGCTCTGGCAGGGTCTCGAAGCGCACGGATCCTTGGACGAACAACTATTGTACTCGACTTCGTTGGGCAGGAGGCCCGAACACTTGGCTAAACAGGCGGAAGCGTAGGTAACACCGAGCCTGCCGCAGACCGGCACGTAGTGGTCAGGACAGTCACAAGGCAGCCCCGGTATCCGAACTTCGGCGCAGCTCTTGCGCGAGCAACTGATCTCGCCCTCGAAGCAGCGACAGGGGTTGCACTCGAGGTAGAAGCTCGAACGATGGGCGACGAAGCTACTCTGCACCCAGCATGTGTTCAGTGCTAGACAGTTAAGGTCTCGGCATTTGTCCAGCTTTCCGGGTGCGATGCATTGGCAAATCCGGTAACAGCCCTGGTGCTCGAAACGCGGAATCTGGGCCCACGTCCCAACCGGGATTAGCTGGCGTGACATCTCACCCAGCGGACAACCTAAGTGGACAACCTTTTAGGATGCTTTTACATTCTTTGCATTTACCGAATTTCAAAGCGTCTCATACATCGCGAGAAGGGTTCCAAGTAATTTTTTAAATCTAATCGAATGGTAGTTCATATTATAGGTAAGGAAGAGAAACAATTATTTGTGATTACGGACTAGTAATGTCAAAAAAAAATGCATCAACGAACCTGGCAGGCAGCGATAACCCTTACGTTCCTCGGGTCTAACGGTGCAGACTTGACCCTGAGAGCAGGGGTTGCTCTTACAGGGCATATTAATATCTTCTTCGATTCTCGGGGGTGGCTCGTTCTGTTCTCGTGGCTCTTCGAGAAATGGTTTAATGGAGACGCAGGGCATGTCTGGCTTGGGAGGTGAGAGCTTGGAGCAGAGCGTCGCTGCATTATGACCCTTTACTGCCGACCAATCGACGCAACTCGTCACCAGCTCCATGCAATCCTCTCGGCAGAGCCGCGTCTCGTGAGCTCGGGACTCGCAGGGGCGGAGTTGCAGGAGACAGGCCGCCGCTCGTAGCGTCATCGAAGGGCAGGAAGGCGCTGCTCGTACTGGCACACCAAGACCGCTTATTATGCCGCCCCTTACCCAGTGATCGGCCTCCCACTTGGCCAACTCGTCCGTCGCCGAGCTGCAACTCCTGCGAAATTATGGATTAGTATTCGGATACTAGGAATTCGTGAAGACGAGTCGTACTATGTATGGCTGAAAAACAGTGAATAACGGAAATGGGTATGGCGTCTGGTTTGGAGTTTATGAAGTTTGAGAGTAAACTGCCCATACCGGAACAATGTGGTGGGCCTGTCGTTGAAGCGCGAGCAGAACGACAGCCCGGAACAACCCATTTCGCAAGCGTCGTCGGTATCGTCGAGACACCGTCTGAGCTCGCTCTCGGTATTAGAGGCGAGACAGGTGGACTCGAGCTGCTGCCAGGCAGACCAATCGGTCTGGAACGCGCGCCAGCAGAGGTTTTGGCAGGTACGACGCGAAGCCCGCGAGCAACAACCGAGTTTGCCAACGTTCAAGGGCAGTCGTTGGGGCTTGGCTGGAGCGGACTTGAGGAGGCAGCCCCAGAGGCCGGAGTGCGGCACGACCGGACTGCAGGTCTCCTCCAGGGCGTCGAGCACCTCATGGATCGAGGCCAGGGCGTGAAGGGCGCGACGGCAGGTATCCAGGCAGCCGGGGCTTGGCGCCTGCTCACAGCAGTGCAGATCTACGTTTTACGTATACGTTATTTTCTTTGGTTTTGCATCACAATGATGAGACTCCTCTTGGCTTTCAGAAGCTCCATTAAAATTCGAATCGAGTATAACTATAACACTGCATATGCATCTACATTTCGTTCGAAAATTTTCATTTTTATCCCTGATATTCAAGTAACTTTCTCAATTTACGTCTATGAGCCTAAAATCCGGACAACGTAGAACATTTTACATTTAAATTTATATCCACCTTTATAGCCCATATTTACATGCAAAAATCTTGTGAAAACATTTTCTTAACATAAAACCGCCACGATTTTCGATATTACGATTGTAATTATAATTTCGGCTGTGTTTACAATGCGTTAAAATCATTACTCCCGATGATAACATAAGAGTCGGTGTTTGCATTTAGTTGCTTTCGGTCAAAGGGTGGTAAAATGGTAAAATTAGTTTGGACCGGTGGAGATGTAAGCGCATGCAGCAACGGTTGAATATCAACATGTAATGCAAAGGTGGTACGCGAATACCTGGAGGCAAAACTCACAGAGTTTGGGATCCTCGGAAGTCCTAGCTTCAGCGAGGCTCTTTAAGCACTTAGGCACGTGGTCCCTTACTTCCATAAAGCTTCAGAGCGGCTGCCTGCTTGCCGGGTCGATGAAAGAGATCGGCACAGATTGCTCGGCAGGTCGTATTGGTAACGCTCGCGCAGCATTCGTCCGCGCGTTCTCGAAGCTCAAGGCATTCGGCCAGCCTTGGCTCATCGCTCCAGCGACAGGCGCCTCGGAGCTCTTGGCGATTTCCCGCTCTGACGCAGCTCAGGCGACAGCTCGGGCCCCGGGCCAGCTCGCAGCAGCTGCGGCCCGTCCACTTCTCATTGCGTTCCATGTCTGGGAAACACGGCAATGGCCGAGTAAGGTTATTGGCGACTCCATTGCCATTTATATATATTTAATTTTGGAATGCCTATAGGACAATTCGTCGCCATGCGATTATTAATATAGGTTTATCACATGTGCTGCAAGTACCTTCCTTATGCATAGCTTTTAATTGCTGCTCACGTACAATTTGATTAATATGCTAACTAGCGCATAGTCGATTATTTCTGAATGCACATCAGAAAGGAAACGACGGTCAAGTGACATTGTTTGCTAGTAATTTCGTCTAACTATCGTAAATTTATTCTTAAAGGGGTCGATTAGAGCAAAAGTAAACTAAAACCAAAATATACTGAAGGAAATAAACAGTTGAAAATTATTAAATATGTTTAACTGCTACATTTGTTATCAGATTATTATGATTCTCCACGCAGTCATAATAAATCTTTTCAGTAAATTTTAATAAGCTACTCAAGCGACCGATAGTAAATTATTAAATAAATTGGCACTGATTTACTCTAGCGAATCCATGATGTAAACTTTTTAAATTTAATCAACGTACTTAATGTTTAATGCAATTAATAGTAGGCAAAAAGGCAGCGAACAATCACGTAATCATGTAAAGGTATTTCAACAGATGCCGAATTAATTGATTAATTATTTTATAGCAATTAATTTGTAGATAAATTCCGCGTTGCAAACAAGCATACAAAATTGTAAATTTTAACTAACTCGAAATTAAATTTTTAATATATTACAGAGTCACATATTTTACGCCGTTAAAAAAAATAAACACGGAATAAAACAAAAAAAAAAAACAGAAAACAGCTTCCCAATTAAAAACCTTTGTACAGAAAGAAAACAGTAAAAACATTTGTTTACATTTATTTATAGTAATTATTATTCGTGATAAAGTTAAATCTCGCGATAAAATCGTATCACCAAGTCAAAATTATTTTTCTGTTATATCGGTGATCTTTAAAGTAGCTGAATTATTACGTGATGGCGCCGGAAAAAAGGCAATAAAAGTTCAGAGATCCTGGAAGTCAAAGGAGTCCGCGGAGGAATCTTCACTGAGGAATATTCGGTCGGCGAAGCTCGAGCCTAAAAAATACTACGTCGCCGCACACTTAAATCGCCCAGCAAAACTTTAAAAAGTCAGGGATAGGCTTATCTACGAATACGAATCAGCCACTTCAGACAATAATAACAGCGCGTAGCCTACTTATAAATAACGCTGATAATTTCGAGAAAACATTATCCGCACCTAAGTTCGGGATACGCATGCGTCGGCGCCCGTTCGAACAGTATATCGTTTTGCCTCTCGCTCCTCGCCTTTCCCACTCGATATGCATTAATGCATATATCAGCCCAGAGGAATCTCGGGCCCGACGTTAAGGATCGTGTGTCGCGTGTGCCAACGTGTTGCCGTACACCTCCGCCATACGCCCACCCTGGCTTTTCCACGTTGTGGGCAGAGGAAATACCGCCTCCTCAGACGGATCACGCACAAGAACTTTTAGAACCTTTACTTCCTTCGACCCGTGCCTCACCATTCCTATACACGATAGTCACTCGTAATTTTCAGTGTGCTCTAATCTCTAATCAAATCAATGAAGCTCTTTACACTGCAGATTTAGTCTTTAATCATTTGGAACTTAATTAATCTGGTTGTGTTACCTGGGTTAGACCGATTCATCTTTTAGTGAGAAAAGTACTTGACTTGTCACTTTTTGCAAAGCTAAGTAAAGTAATTGGGTAATGGGCAATGAGAGTTTAGTTGGACGGTAAGCGCTGAAAATGAATTATATTATCCTGTCTGCCGCGCTTGAAACATTATTAATTTTTTCATTAATCATTATCGATTATCAACATTTTTACAATGGCATTATATCGAGACTCAGTTTCTAGAGGTGAATAAATATTTATACAGGCGACAAATTTTATCCCAATAATCGAGCAATATTATAAGTACATATTAATGTTTTATGAAAAGGGAATGTGACAGCTTACCTTTAAAAGTTGAATTAATGCAATCCCAGAATTCCACCTATAATAGAAAAGAAAAGGTATAGATCGTGTTACAATAATACATGTAAAATGAATGGAGGAACAGTGGAAATAGAATAAAGGCTGAAATATAAAACGGCATCTTCTTTCCATCAATCAATCGACTATTGACGACGATTCGCGTCACCACATTTTTATATTATATTTTATAAAATTGTTCTTCAATAACACGAAGGGTATCCAATTATATTGAATTTTATCGAAATTATACAGTATACAATGGTTAATTCTAAATAATTCCTCCCACGATCGAAAATTTCATAAAATTAAAAAAAAAAAAGTACTAAAGATGAATATGAATACTTTTACTTTTGCCTTAAGTGTCATGGGAATATTTTTTTTTTTCGTACAAGAAACGTCGGAAAATTATTACAAAACCTAAACTACGACATTACAAGCCTAGAAATATAGATTATATAATAAAATACAATATTCATTAAAATATTATTTTTAATTTTTTAAATTTTTATTAAACTACATACATACATAGACTTCCAATACATTTCTTTATTTAAAATTTAGATTAAAAAATTTTTCATAACAAATTTTTAAGTGAAAAATAGTTTATGCACAAATTATATGGTTTTCTCACATAACGATTCAAACATTCCCAATTGCTTTGAATTGATTCCCAGAAACTTTGATACTTAAATACAAACACTTGATTTGTAAAAGATGAAATTATTTCATAAAACAATTAATTTATACTATTAATATTAAAATAAAATATTTTAAAAGGTATTATTTGCAATTTTGTTTATTTTTGTATTTGTCAAACTTTTAAATACAATGCCATTATTCATGATATAGTAAAGATTAAAGCTGATATATCCATATTAAGTGAAAGTTCATTTGTAATTATGTTTTTAATTGTTGTTAAAATTTTATGCATTCTTATTTAATTATCAAAATTTTTATATTAAATGTATCGTTAACGTTAAAAGTATAAAATTTTGTTAGCTTGCCATTTCTGATGAGCAAAATTCCGAAAAACCCTTTGTTGCATTTTCTCGGGCATATAGATCTGCACTCAAAGACACCATCGAAATCTGAAAAAAATACATTTATATATCGATACATATAGTGTATTTTAAATAACAAGGCATCAAATAATATATCATCTTTTTTTAAATATAAAAAAGTATCTCTTTTATTTAACATATCCTTCATGGACAAGAAAAGAAAATGAAATCGTAAAGTAGAAATTGGAAACTACTATAATGTACTAAACTACTATAACTACTATAAACGAATAATAAACAATACACGTCGTAGTTTGGTCGGTGATTTGTAAATTTTCGTTTTTAAGAGATTTTATGCTTGAGGAGAAGAAACAAGCAATCTGTACGGATTGGCAAAATTTTGTATTCGATCCTGGATTCGAATACTAAATACTAACGCTCTTGTTGGCATTTGATAACCAAAGGTTCTTTCTTATACGAAGTTAAAGACTTGAATTTTTTCGCATACTATTAAAATTTATTAATCAATTATTTGTGGTTAAAAGACTATCGTTTATGGTTGGTAAAAGGGAGTACTTTTTAATGTTTATAATACTCTCTCTCTCTCTCTCTCTGTCTCTCTCTCTCTCTCTCTCTCTCTCTCTCTTACTCGCTCTCTCGCTTACTCTTTATATATATTTAAATCTACATTTTTATTTCTCTTTTTATAATCTGTTATCGTATATCAGAGAAAGGCTTTCTCATTGTTTCTTGTATGAATGATAGATGACATAATAAATTACCGTTTGAACGGTATAGAAAATCGATCCTATGATAATTTATTAATTGTTTAAATGTATAAAAATATAAAAATAAAGTTTAACTAATAAACTATAAACTAAGCTATATCTATATCGGTCTAATTAGACCCGTTGATGTTATAGCCAATGAAAATATCACGATTCTTTATTAGTAATATAACGAGATGAACAAAGAATTTGAATTATAATACTATATTGTTGATACGTCATTATATAAGAAAAATTTTTAGCCTTACTGCATGTAAAATTCTTCAAATAAAACAATATTTAGAAAGTACCATAATAATGAGAATACAGTCTATTGAATCTTTGGATTACAAATCCAAATCCTGCTGACTAAAATAGAGAAGAGTTTCGCAGCCTCTTAAAAAACGACATGCAATGGAAAGCAAATAAATGGGTGTGGCAAATCTGTCAGAAGCCAGACGCAATACAATAATCTATGCACGTACACGCAAAAAAGAGAGGCGTGCGTTGCGCGGAAAAAGCAAACAAACTTTTATGTGAGCACGGGTGCTAGAATCGGAAGCACGGATTAAGGGGCATCAAGTCGGCCGCGAAAAAGAAAACGATTTTCCAGGGCGATTCTGTGTCGTCGAAAGCTTAGGCTTGGCATCAAAAGATACGAAAATAGAATCGTACTCGTTCCTCCATTTTTTTTTTACGAAGCTCTTCTTTCTGCTCTTCTTTTTGCGCGCTTCAGTGCGTTAAATTTCATTTTTTTTATTTCTGCTCGCGCCCCATATTCCTTTTTCATTGCATTAGAATGAAAGAAGCTTTTGTGAACGAGGTGTTGGCTGTAATTATCGTGATATAATAAAAACCAATCATTATCGCTCATTGATCAGATAGTTAGTGATTTCAGCTTTTTTCATTTGTACATTGACTTGCTGGCATTTTTATACATCAAATTTAATTAAAATATTATATTTTTTCGACTTGGAGACGTTTATCTTGCATACAATTACATTTTTGTATATTTAAAATAATAATTATATACAGCTGCATTCAATTCTTAATAATGGATTTTTAATGATTTTACTTGCGTTGAAGGATATCGAAGAATTATAATATTTTATTTGATGAATTAGTTGCAGCTATACGTATTATGTAAAAATATTCAATTCCTTCTGGATTTTTGCTATATATTTGTTATATATTTATAATTTCTTCTGGATAAAAATTATCTTTGTATAGTTTTTTTATATAAAGTAATATTTGCAAATGGAATAAGAGTTGAATTTCTTATAATGTCCTATACAATATGGAGTACTTAGGCCATTTTTGCTTAATCATAGATTAACGGTTGTTTCACACCAAAGATGATATAAATTTTTTTTCGTATAATTTCAGCTTTCTTAAATGAAAGTCTTTATCACTAATGATATTCTACATGGTAAATAAGTGTTTAAATAAAATATAGGAAATGTATGATTATAGTTAATCGTAGTTTATCTCGTCAATTAAATTTTTTATTTTAACGCAGTGTTCCCTTAACTTAGTTAACTCAAAGTACTTTTCACATACCATTCAATTGCTAAATTAACATATATTTTATTTAAATTTTCTTGACAACATTACCTTCGGATTGCCTTAAGAATTCAAATTATATAACAGTGAGATATTAAACACGTATAAAATAATTTGATTTAAAAAAGCCCTAGTTTGAATTATTTCGATAAAGCATTCTGAAAATTTTCAATTACAAAAATTCAGTATATAATTTGAACTATGTATCATAGAGTTTCAGTAATTTTATTAGGCGTTTTTCAATTAATTTTTAATAATTACAGGTCGTGGGCTATCTGTGATTAGGGATATTGAGCAAAATTATTGAATATTCAATGTTGAGCATCTCGTATCAATATATCAGTCGCTAATTATTTCACGTCACGCTTCAAGATTCCTCCTTCTCGCGGCATTTACATATCGAAATAAGGAAAAGTAAGCGATCGATAAAAAAATTCCGTAATGTCTCGTTGAGTTAGGAAAAACAAATATGTGTCGTTGCTCCTCGACACCGAGGCATCAAAGACAGCGACATACGCGATATTTTAACACGATGTGAGCATTCAAAAACAGCTAAGGGATCTATTTTGTGCTACCGAGTGGAATAGAATAAAACGGGTCGGCGTGCCTCCACTCACTAATAAAAGATAGTGCGTCGCAAAAACACATTTTCCAACGATTCGTTAAAGACTTTTTGCATTCCTCCGCCGTGATTGGTAAATCATTGTCAAATTTCTTGCAAATTTACACTGATTCTTGTTTTTTAATTGGTATCTTATTCGGTTTATGATGAATTGTCTAAGAGCGTTAAGCGTATGTGAGGAAATTATGGATATTTCTATAATACGCGTTAAAGTAGTTTATAGGCATAATTCCGCTGTAGGAAATATTGCTATGGTGCTCGGTTTTTATAGTCGTCATTTTGCCATCAAGAAACGAGTAGAAGCTTTATATTTTTCAAGATAAGGCATCTTAATTATATAAAGATTGTATAATATTACAATTATCAGGACTTAGAACGATAAACGCTTCTTTTTTTCATTTTAAAGTTATATTACAGAACAAAACATTCACTTCTAATATTTTATAAATAATAACAACAACAACAAGTACAAAATAAAAGTATAAATTTAATAAGTACGAGGTGTAGTGAAATAAATGATGACATTGAAAACACAGACGATGCATAACAGCGGATAATATCAAAGAGCAGAACATCTTTCTATAAATGTAAATTCAAAGGCGTTTTATAAATTCTACGCGTTTGTTTTCCTTGGAATTTTAGCCATTTACCGTAGCGCATAAGTTTGTTCTAAGAAAGAAACTAATGTACTTGAAGACATTACCTGCTGTTGTTGTACTGATAATTCAACTGTACGTCCTCAGCAAATAAAATGCCATTTTTACGAGTACTTGGATAATATAAACTCCAGAGGACTTGTGATTATAATCATTTCATGAATAAAGTACATTTGTCCAAACATTTACAATTTAATTTCATTACGCTTCACATAAAATTTAATAGTCCTATAATTTCAAATTCCTGTTGGTTCATTAATTATTTATGTTAACATGGACATTGAAATATAAAGTGTATTGAAATTAAAAAAAAATTGTATCTAAACATATACACTATGAATAATTTATATTTTTCAACTTTTATTCTTTTTATTTTTAAGGAATAGTCATTGTTTAAATTTGCCCATAAGTATGAATTATAGAAATTTTATTGACAAGGCCTATAATTATATGCCACTTGTATCGATTTATTTAAATTTATCTTTGTGAGAAAAGCTCAAATAATGTTATACAAAATCCCGTAAATATTAACAATTGAAACGTAAACAATTAAATAAATTATATTTAATTTTTTTTAAATAAAATTAAAGTTGGCAGTATGTTAAATAAAAACACTTGATAAATGTTAATAAATTATCGAATAATAAATACTATTATAAGAATATACTATAAACTTTTTATGGCCATTTAATTAGGAAATCATCAGATTGATATAATGAATGAAGCAGCTATTTATATTTATGGGCATTTATAATGTTTCTCGTGATGGCAAATGTAATTGATCAATTGTAAATTTTATATATATATCTATTCGATTAACGTAACATTATATCATTCTTTCTAAGAAATTTTTCAAAAGCTCTTTTGAAGTATTTAAAAATGTTTAAACCATAATAATCATTTTCTTTTACTTCCTATGTTAATACCTGATATTACAATGAAACTTTATCAACTACTCTATCAATCACATGCGAATGAATCAATTAATATTGACAGGATAAGAAAGTCAAGTCAATAGTTGCCTTGTTTCGTTGTAATGGCTAGAAACGAACTCCTCTTTATCTTTTTTTATACATTGAGGGTTCTGGTCAAGAACAAAATATTATTTAAGACAATAATTGCATCTCTTATGGACTTGAAAACATTAAGTGGCCCCAATACACTGTTCTTATATCCAGTTCATATAGTGCAATAGCTAAATAAATAACGGTCATCGACAATTATTTTTTATTGGCACAGAGATGAAATTGAATAACGCCAGTGTATTAAGCGATGCTCATCACATTCCTAAATTTTCTGGTAAATCCAAAAGACAATAAGAGTTGACGTTTAAAAAAAGACGAGCTGCATATTCAGCGAAAAGTTAATACAATTGCACGTATAATTGTGGCAAGAATAGTCTCTTTTCAAAGCAAATCGAGGACGACACCTACAGCTGTGATGTTTGACCGGAAAAACTACTGAATTAATTGTATGAGGTTTAAATAAATGATGAAACAAAGTATCATGAAAGTATCATGGAGGGGGAATATATGTTCCCAACTTGCTCATGTTTTTGCAAATCGATATCAATTGTTAATTTCAGATCAGTTCATATGATTCTCAATAACTGATCAATATATTCTAGAACTATTAATATCTGTATTATTGATTTACATTATTGATATTATTGATAAATAGTGGTAATAAAATTGGCAGATACGACTGGAATGAAATGTTGTCCTAATAAGGTATGAAACGTTGAAACATGAAATTGAAGCGTTGAAAAAGTATTTTTATTTTTACCTAATGTATCTAATTTTTTGGAAAATAATTGTTTACTATCATCAAATATTTTCCATACTTGTTTGAAATAGTGAATTTTTTCTAATTGTTTAAAATGAGAAATATATATTTATAGAGAAATATACTTGTTAAGCATACAATTATACGTATTATAAATTGTTTTCATGTAATATTTTAAAATCAAGTATAAAATAAATATTAAAAGCTATATTTTTCATAATAATACTACGGATAATAAAGAACAATTTAAAAAATAAGCAAATTATTGCAATCAAGTATATTTTGCTAGAGCGTTTATTAAAAAAAAATAATAAATCAAATAAAGCTCTTTAAATTATTGAATTTTGCATTTGATGCTGCATTGGATGCCATAATGGAATTACCTTTGTTATAGATTGAATTTAGGAGTATAGAGATGTCGATATATAAAATTAATATCTGAAGTCTTAATTTTTTTAAATTATAAAAATTAATTGGTACAGTTGTATATAAATTAAATTATTTTTAAGTTTAATTATCATGATCAAACTATGATAGGCTGCATGATAGGCAAAATATGATTGATTAAAATAAGATGAAATCATTAAAATAATTTTTTTATTTTCTCATAGATTTTTTCTGTATTTTTTCATAGTTCTATTATCAAAATACTACTATCACTTCTGCTAATAATTGCTTATTTCAATTAATTTTTCCTTAATATCACGTTTTTAGGATTATTTTACTTATTAGTTATTTTGTTTAATATTAATTATGGATAGGGATTTTATAATAATAACATCATCATCAACATAAAAATAACAACGACGATAACAACAATAATTGAAGAAAAGTAGTTTATAGAAATAAAGGTATCAGTAAAAACAACAACAATGATATTTTTAGCCTCTTACAAAAATCTCCGAAGCCATTAAATGCGTATGAAATACCGCAAAAGAAAGAGGAAATGGAAAAGGAAAATAGTGGCCAAGTACCCGTATTTTCATATGCCTATTAAAACCCTGCGCACTCTCATCCTGGGGGAAACGTAGTCTTTTCAAAAATGTAAACTAATCTAATATTACCATAAAGTAGTGTATGAAATACGAAGTAGTTTATGACTTTTTCTTAAGTTGAAGTTAATAATTAAACGATTTCAATAATTATCGGGGTTTTCGTGAATTTTTTGAAAAAATTATTTAAAGCTATGTTTGAATAGGAGGCTTAATAATTATTTAAACCGTTCATTTTCTATTCATAACAAAATTTTTACATTCCTATCTTTTTTTTATTACCAAAAAATCATGAAATTTATTAAATTAAATAATAATTGTCATTGAATCATTCTGCAAATAAGCATTATCTGGGCATGTATTTCTACGCTTTAGAAAGCACGAATAAAAGATAACAAATTTTGAAAATAAAGTAAAATGTAGATGAATGTATAATAAGGTACACAAATTTTAAGTAAGAAGCAAATTGCATTGGCTGAAAAATTACAAGAAAATTAGGTAAATTCAACACTCTATAACATCGAGATTTAATACATTATATAAAGTTAATTATAATAACGTCCGAAAGAAGATATATGGTGGACGTTAATTTACGCTCTTAATTTGATACATTTACGTAAATGTAATTATACACGAAAGATATATTGAGGATTAATCGTAGGTTAAACAATATTAGTATCTAAATAAAGATCGACGGCATCATCAAATAAGTACATATAATGCACTTTTCTGTAAGGGACAAAAAATATCGCTTTGGAGATAAAAGACATCACAGTGGTTACATATTATTGAGTTAAAGATCATACGCACCTTAGAACAGACACTGCGACAAGAGCCGGTGGCTGACGAACAGCAGGACATCTCTGGAACAAAAAATGTGGGCTGGTTATTTAAGCACGAAACAAGAGCGGCGTCCTTTTCGTTTTCCCCCCGTCAATTCAATTTTCAATGCGTCTGCTACGTGTCATCTCGTCAAAACTACGCCAGACGACTTTCAGTTATGCGCTTCTAGTATTAGACTCTCATTTATGATCGGGCTTGCTTTGTCTTTTTGAATTTCGAACGTTTGAGGTGGCGCGCGTATAACTAAGTCGGTATCTCTTTATCGGTAACGAAGTTAAAAAAATAGCGGCCGAGTTATTATTATCTCATTATCGACTTATTGCCTTAGGAGATTTTAACCGTACGTGCTAACGTTAGTCTCCGAAGTTAAATGAACTGTAGTTTTGCATAATATTTTTTTCAATTATATCCTTTGGAATGAAAATGAGAACGAGGGTTTCTCTTTTTATAACTAATTTAAGCTAATTTTAACTAGACCGGAAGTAATAAGAGATTCTAGTAAAGCGGCGCGTTTAGTAGTTTTTGTTTTCCATACTTTGGAGTAAATAATTGAACAGAAGTTGCGTTTGCAGAGAATTTTGGGAAATATAAATTTCCACGAATATTATCATGGTAGAATATATTCATTTGTAATGACATTGGTTCTTTGCCCATTATATTCATTTGACTTCATTGTAACTTGTAGAATTTCGAAAATGCACATAGAATTTTATTTTATTATTTTATACATTAAATGTCATATTAACCTTTTTTATATGAATCTTCTAAATAAATCGCACCATTTGGCATTGTATATCAAACGCCATTTTTACTTTTTAAGTATCCTCATTTGGTCTGAACAAAATGCAATACTAATTTATCGTAACAAAATGAGACACTGATTCGGACAAAAAATTCGAAGATTTACTTTATGAAATGACTTCGCACAAGCGGACATTATTATGTCAGACTTGACTTTAGACTAACATCATTATGGCCTTCAGAAACTGAGCATAAATAAACAAATGGTAATTCGAATGGAACCCGAGTTAGCATTTGAATTAAAATTTGTTTGAAGAATGGCGGTCTCATCAATGCGGGTACCTAACCGAGAAAATGTCCAACACACGCGGAGAGTAACGCCCAACTTTTTTAGACCCTTATTATGTTCTTAGAATATGACAAAGACGGGGGGGGTGTACGAGAAACAGCGGGAGGGCGGTCTCTCAGCTCGTACCGTAATGAGGTCGCGGATCAACGGTGCGCGGGTCTTCGGTGGGATGCGCGTAGACTCTTACGCAATGCCATTTATTGCCGTATGATTGATACACCGTCACTAACTGCACAATATGTAGCGACTTTGACATTGCTCATATGGCAATATCTTTTTCCATTTTCCAATATAAAGTTGGGTTCAATACTAAACGGAATTATTGTTATATTGGCTTCTTGTTGGCAAAACTGATTGTCCTTGCATAATTTTTTTATTGCTAGTTTTTATTGCTCACCTTTGATGATTAATGAAACTCGCAAATCACGTTATGAACATAATTAATGATAATTTCAACAGAAAATTGTGTGTCCGTCGATTTTATGATTGGACGGACTATGCATATGGATCAGGTAAAGCCTTAGCAGCGGGCCTTGGAATACTGATAGCGACGAAATAAAAGTGGAAGAGTGAGATAAACAATATAAAAAGAATGAATGAAAAGGCGACATTTGACTCTTAAACCAACCTACGAAATGCATTCAGCGAACATTATTTGCTCTCAAGTCGTTCTCACTCGCATCTTCAACTCTTGCTCGAACTTCGCGGAATATGAAGCTGCAGACAAGCTGAAGGAAAAGTGCATCTATGCTGGTAAGCGTAGGAGCTGCTGGCCGACTCTTAATTCGAGTTAATAAATACCAATTAGAGGCAAATTGAGCCAGAGACGCTGGGACCCGTGTTTCCCGGCCTTCTATTTATTGTGGCTATTTGCCTCCTTGACGACGGGAACTGAAAAATATGCCCTCGGGATCGTCGTAGCAAGAGGAATGTCCCTGCAGTCAAAAACGCGCGATTTAATAATAGAGCGACATTTTCATGAGCGTGAAATGTACATTGCGAGATGCTGAATTTAATTGCGCTCTGGTAGCATCTGTTGTTTTGACAGACGTTGTTTTGAATCGAATGATTAGTCCGCTGACAGAGACGCAGTACGATGGATTAAATTTTTCAAGATAATTAACGAGCCTAACTGGTACTTGTCATTTCATATGTATCATAATATGTATCATAATGCGTTGCAATATATATTTTTCGGAAAGCATAAGTTTAGAGGAGCATTCTTATTTTATGTTCTTTTGTCCGACACGCATATACAGCGATAAAGCCAACAATTGATTAGACAATAAGTGCGAGAACATTGCCATCCACTGTAAGTATCGGAAATTATTCATTTAAACAGATCGAGAGAACAGTATATTATATCCTTTACTTTTGCATTATTCAATTATATTATTCAGACTATTATGTTAATCATTGAAATATAATTGTGTAGCTTTGTGCGAAGTTTTAATAAATAACATTTTGAGACTTTAAAATTAATATATTTATTTAATATTATTTTGACTATTATTAAAATATAAATAATTTATATATTTGATTTATATATTTAAAAAGAAGTTGTAGAAGTTAATGAAGTTTCATTTTTAAATATAATAATAGATGGGAATTAGATCAATATTATAATGGCTTCATATAAACTTACGTCCCGCCCTCTCTCTCTCTCTCTCTCTCTCTCTCTCTCTCTCTCTCTATCTCTCTATCTCTCTATCTCTCTATCTCTCCATCTCTCACTCCCTCTGTCTTTTCTAATGTTCTTTAATAACCATAATATATTCATGTAAAGTATTAAATTTATAGTAAATTTAATCGCAACACTCTTATAAAAAATATATAATTGCAAATATAATGTAAAATATGCGTCGAAGCTACTATTTAGAGGCAATAGCGTCGTCGACGTTCCTATTAGAACAATCAACATATCAGCATAAAGTATGCTTCGTATAATACTAAAGCGACAAAGTCACGTTTCTCCAGCGCCGATTTTCAATCGCGTGTAAAGAGAGGTAAAGATAGCCGACACGCCGATGCAAAGGCGCGCATTCACCGCCAATTGAATAGAATAAAGCGCGCGATGCTTTTAAATGCGAGCTATTTTCGTATGACGTGTCGAAACTTTTGCACAAGTTCACACAAATACAGTCAGAGTACAAAACGAATTGGGTTTTTTGGCCGGAAGGCGCCATTTCTATACCCTGGACGTCCGGCGGTAGACGCGACGATTTCATTAGCTAGCACCTATGCCGGGAAAGTGATTGCGAAGTTGTCATTCTTCACCGAGCCTTCTATTCCCTGTTAAATACTTATTTCCGGTTGTATATTGCCATTTTAAGTAGTAGAAGACACTTTCGATTTGATAAATCGAATTATGCGCCACGATTAGTTACGATTTACTTACGAAATTTAATACATGTGCAGATTGTACTTCGTACACCTCTATTACAGGATGCTTATAAACTTTAACGGGTTTCGAGCACTTTAATCCAATAGAATATTTGTATTTGAAACATCAAATACAGCATAAACCGGATCTAATCCATCCGGTTTATCGTATCATTCAAATGAATTTATAATTATTCTCTTAAAAGTGCAGCAGTTATTTTCTTGTTGTATTAATCGATAAATGAATTAAGTTGAGCATTATTTTGAAAAATTATTACTTGATGGACTAGTCATTTTTTGTTTACTATTAAATGGAAAATATGAAAATATTACTTATTTAAAAAATCAATCAAACTAAAGTACTTCCAATTAATTGATTCAATTTATCTAACTTGATTAATCCTTGGCTAATTACCAGTGGCATAAATTGAAAAAAATATCATTACATTTTTTATATCCAATTAAGTTATTATCAACGTTTCTTAAAAAAAAATGTTAAATGTATCCTTTAACGTATCGTATTAAAAATCTGGCTTATGGCCTCTAAGGATACAGAGTAAAAGAAACAACTATTACAAGTCACGAACAATTCAAAATTGTTTCTATAATGACAAATATTCGTATGCCAAAACTTAATTAACAATAGTAAGTTTGTCATTCGTAATTAATATTGACTGATTTGAAATATTCACGGAATTGTGTAAATAATACAGGCGCCAGACTTTTCAGTTTTCAATTGATATATCCTATTTTATGAATAATGTAAAGCTTATATCAATGATTTTATTGAGTATAGAGTTCCTAAGACTGTCGGAGTACAATTTACTTATTCAGCGATTGATTTATGAGCTTTCGTTATCCCTTAATTAATTATCGATATACTTCTTTTCCTGGGATTTTCCGTCACCTATGTTTTCACTACTGTCGACATCGTAAAAATTAGAATGTCAAGCGAGTTCTTGGTAGCTCGCGCGCCGAGTCGTTTAGATGCGATCGTAAAATTGTGCGTGAATTGAGACGATTGTCGTCGTCATCGTCGTCGTCGTTGTCGTATTCTTTCGGCTTTGCTCGTAGACCAACCGTAAATTTTAAGATCGTCGGACTGCATTGTTTTAAACTTGCACACATTTTACGATTCCGGTGAACAATGTTAAACACATTTTTATGTTATTTCCCTTATAATATGCCGCTTTTTTACTCTGCAACTGTCTTATGCATTGGTATTTTATTAGTGTTCGATTCATCTTTATACGTTTTGAAAATTGCTTTCATTGGACAATTTCATCAACTACCTCATTTTATTCAAAAGATATTTTTATAAACAAATAAAGTAGCCAAACTCCGCTTATATTTTCACAGTTTACTATATTGTAAAAAAATATAAGTACAATCACATTGATTTTATATTATTCGATAAAGTTACTTTCTACTTTATTTTAATTGCATTTATTTAAAACCTAGTTATATATATATATATATATATATATATAAGTTATAAAGAGTATGTAACATAATTGTTAAAGAATGTAACGCTTTTTATCAAATTAT